GGATCCCCCCCCACCCCGCCTGTAGCACTGCTGCTTGAAGAGAATAGAATCAAATCATTAAGGTTGGACAAGTCCTCCAAGATCATCAACCCAACCATCAACCCAACGCCACCATGCCTACTAAAACATGTCCCCAGCTTCCACATCTATAACACCTCCAGGGATGGTGACTCCACCTCCTCTCTGGGCAGCCTCTTCCAATGCTTGACCACTCTTTCAGTAAAGAAATTTTTCCTAATATCCAATTTAACACACCCCCCCCCCCCCAAAAAAAATGGAGCCATTTCCTCTCATCCTTTTGTTAGTTACTTGGGAGAAGAGACCAACACCCACCTCACTACACCCTCCTTTCACAGGGTGAGAGGTGGTGACTGTCAGCTAGTGGGTTTTGTAATTTTACCACTAACAAAGTGGAAAAATAAGTATCCGAACACATCTAGGAGGGGAGCAGTCAAGGACCTGTCTCCCTCTCCAGCACTGGCATAGAGTCACAGTCCACTTTTGCCTTCTCCCTTGGTTGTGCTTAGGCTCCAATAGTAACGAAGTGAAGGTCAAGTAGAACCACAAGCTGTCTTGTAAAAGCAGTGGGAGGAGGAGCAGCAGCACAGGCTGGGCTGTGTGTTAAGTTGGTAAAGTCAATAATGTTTACTGTTTTGGTTTGTCGCTCTCCTCCTGCCCTCCCCTTGCCTCCAGGGTCTCACCCTGCAGTCAGGTTACACTCCCATTCCCCCCAAGCACAGTAAGTAGATCGATCCCTGTTGCTATCTCAGCCTCCCTGCCTGCATGCTGCCATGGGCTCAGACCTAAAGGTTTTGGCAAGAAAGTGGGTAACTGTGACCATGGCCACGGTGCAAGAACCATGCAGTATTTGTTCAGCAGTGTCTAGAGCCATCTCCTGAGCTTCCAGGTCCTGGCTGTCTTCAGGGAGAGAGCACAGAGAAACCAAGGGAATGCGGACAGAGTTACCACACAAAGCTGGCCAAGCTGATAGTCTTGAAACACACCTGAGCAGCCTTTTCCCCCCTCCTTCACAGGGTCTTCTCCCTTCCTCCTTTCAATTTGAAGTGATCTCCATACTGCTGACATGTTGCCAGCTGCTCCAGGAGGAAGAAAGAGTGATGGTCAAGGATTTGGATGGACAGAGCACAGCATGGTGCTGAGCAGTCCTACAGCTGTACACAGCGGGGGCCAGAAAGCTTCTCAGCTTTGAAGAGCTACTGCAGTCAGCACTTTCAGAGACTGGAATCCACCTCTGCTTCTACCCATGCTGGGAATTCTGTCAGTAGCCTTAATTCCCAAACTTTACTCGCTGAAGAGCATCTCCTCATGCTCACCATTTCTTTTCAAACCTTTTCCACAGTTTTAAGGAAAAAGAGCACTTTTTCTGCTTACCCAACTTACATTGGCAGTCTGTTCTGCAAGATGCCAGTTACACCATTCAATCTTCTGGTGGCTTTGCTTTACACTACCCACTCAGAAAAACCATTACTTTCACCATTGCAAAGGTGAAGAAATGGAAACCTAGAAATGGACCTAACAAGGTTAAACCAGGAACTTTCTGGTAAAATACTGGAAAAACTGCATGGAGTACAGGTGGTGAGTCCAATATCAAAGCCATTTCCTCCAGCTGTGACAGCAACACTTTTTTTTTTTTTTCCAAATAGACCAGACATCTAAGAGTTTGACACTGCATCAAATTTTTTTTAAAAAAAAACAAAAACCCACACTTCTCTCCATAGCACCCCAACGTTTCTCCTCTCTCCTGTCAAAGCAGATGCCTCTGGTTAGAAAGTTTTCAGTAGTCATCACCTGGAGGCAGCCAGGTTCAAATTCAAGCAAGAGCTTTTTCTTTTTTTGCATCCTGACAAAAAAGGCGGCTTTGGCTGGGTAATACAGAAACACACATACACAGATTTGCCATGAAAAAAAAACTCCTCACATTTATTTGATTAAACAAAAATAAAATAAACTGCATAGGAACATTTTAAAGTCCAGAGAGACACTGACTTTGTTTTAAGGCTGCCAGTAGCTGATACATCGTCTCCTTGCTACATCCTTCAGCCTTCCCTATGGACCACAAAGATACATTCAGAAGCCTCTGTTAACACAAGGGTTCTAACATTTTGCTCACTTATTCTACGTAAAAGGTTGCACATAACCTGTCATGCTTTCTTCTCTGTGGTACTCAACATCTGACATCTAAAAATGTCACTTTTTGTCCAAGTAGAAATGTGATGCCCTTTTTGGAGCATGGAAGTTCTTGTCACAGCCTGGTTCAGTATCAGTTAGATATAAAAGCTCTGAGCAGCTCATTAAAAGCAGAGCACTGTCTGTCCTGCTGAGATGTTTTTATTATTATTAGGAGAGCAGCATGATTAATCACTAAAGAAGAGGAGAAACAACTGCAACAGAAGAGGAAACTACAAAACCAAACAACTCAAGATGCCCAACACCCAAGGACTGACAAAATCATTCTGGACCTGATGCAAACCTGCACCAAGGCAACGCTACTTATACACTGGTAATGAATTCTTATAAGATAGGGCCGTACATCTACAGTCAATTAAATGAGGGGAGAAAAATTCACATTTGTGACACTGGTTTCATGTGGACAGCCTCCATTTTGTTCAAGGCTTCCGATTTCTACTTGACTTAAATTGCAGGTGTGTGTTCAACACCCTCACTACTCCAGCAAATCGTGCACGAACCAAGCAGCGCATGACAGGTAATGCACAGTACAAACAAGAGTCACATACAGT